AGATAAGGACATTGCATTCTTTCAATCTCTCTAACACTGGTGTGTATTTTTGGCATGAACTATGTTTATAGCTGCACTCTGCATAACATGGTGTACCAAGGGTGGGCAGGGGGTGGGCCATCCCTGATGCAGACAATAAGGGGGGTATTGCTGAAGGTAGGAGGAGGCTAGTGATGCCCATGTGCCAATCAGCTATTTTGTAGTCAGCGGTGGAAAAAATATGTGTCTTCAAGTCAGTTTTGACTCCCGGTGACTCCCTTCTGCAGTTTTTTTTTTGGCAGCATTCTCCAGAAATGGTTTGTCAGTTCTTTCTTCCTAGGGCTGAGAGAAGTGTCTGGTCCAAGATCACCCAGCTGGCTTTGGGCTAAGGCAGGACTAGAACTCACAGTCTCTTGGTTTTGATGCCGTAAGGACTATACTCAACTGGCTTTCAACAATGAAGGAGGGGTGTGTTAAAAAATGATCCACTCTGGGTATCAAATATATTAGCTATGCCATTACCAAGGCGATCCCACTACTACTCACGCCACTCCATTCTGGACCAGCTGGAGCTTCTGATTGGTCTTCAAGGTCAGCCCCAAATAAAGTATATTGCAGTAATCCAGACAAGAGGTGACCAAGGCTTGATTGACTGTGAGTTGAGCCTTCCAATCCATGAATGGGCACAATTGCTGCACAAAATGGACACATGCAAAGGACCTCTCGGCTACTACCTGCACTTCAAACAGAAGCCATGAGTCCAGGACCACCTCCGTATTTCACACTGGGTCTGTCTAGGGTAGTATAACCCCATCCACAGCCAAAGATGAAAATCCCCTCAATCCAAATCCACAGTATTAAGCCTATTCTCCCCCGTCCAGGCCCCTATAGCCTGTAGACACCGAGACAGAACTGCAGTGATATCACTTGGCTGGCCTAGGGTTCACTGTCTTGTAATTTCAGAATTATTTTTCTACTTACGAACCTAAAATTGTATTAGTATTTTAGCAGCACTATTTAAATAAGCCACAAGGTTAGGAATGATCCAGTTCCATCAAGTGTGTAAAGGTCAGAGTTTACCTTGTGATGTCGTAATGCAGATTGGGTCACTTGCCCTTTGTTGAGAGGTGGACTCTGAGCCTGGCCATGTTCCCAGCCAACCAGTATCTGAGTTGGAACATACATTTACATCAGTAAGACAGAATTTTTGGCACATAAGCATAAAGAAGTTCCCTGCAATCCATTCTTCTCCTGGATGGGAAAAAGCTTTGTTTTTTAAAAGACAAAGGGCAGAACTCTGGTGATGCAGAGCAAGAAGTTGATGTGCCTGATCTGGGAAAAATAAGCCAAAAATAGCTCTGATAGATGTTTGAATTTACCCCCAGAAACCAGGGGAGATCCACAGAAAAAAAAATAGAAGACTTTGTTCCAGGATTCAGTTTGTATATAAATACATAAAAGTTTTTTAGCTAGGAATCTTTGCTAGACTTTTGATTTATTTTGTTCTGTATTAGAAGCCTTATTTGCTCTTATTCTTATTTCTCTGCGCAAATGTAATTTCAGACTAAGCTGATTATTTTCCAGGAAGCTAGTTTATAACTTAATAGCAGTCTCTCTCCCAAGAACACAAATTATAGCACTCTAGCACCATCCTGTGGTCTATCAAGAGCTTTGTATGTACATTTGTAAATAGGATTCATGTACCATTGCTACTGAGGTTTTTGAAGGAAAAAAAGAGACTTTATCTCTTGCAAGATTTGTTATCTTCCAAAGCATGGAAGAAAGGAGGAAATCTCTAGCTACCTGCCATTATGCCACAGGGCCAGGAGGCTGAATTATAGAAAGTATTTCATTTTTTTCAAACTTTGTCTAACAATATGCCCTTTTACATTTTTATGCTCCTTTGTATCTCTGTACCATAAATATCTATGGAGTCCATTGGCTAAGCTGACTCCTTCTAATATTGCCATTCTACAATTCTGGGATTTTATTCACTCTTTTAACTATGAAAAGCAATTTGCTTTATGATGTAGTTTAAGATTTGAAAGGACAAGACCACCTCTCTCTTTGGAATCTTTTTAGTTTAATTCTGGGTCTTTTCCCACTCCATATGAATTTACTGATAGTTTTTTGCCATTCTTTTTTTTTAATAGTAATTTTATTAAAGATTACAATTTAGAACAATAAAAA